TGGAGTGGTGTGACCATCACTCACAGCTGATTCTGTTTCTCCCTGGAATGGTGTGACCGTCACCCACAGACGATTCTGTTTCTCCTGGAATGGTGTGACTGTCGACCACAGCTGATTCTGTTTCTCCCTGGAGTGGGGTGACCGTCACCCACAGATGATTCTGTTTCTCCTGGAGTGGGGTGACCCTCACCCATAGCTCTGGCTTCTCCTCTAGGATCTCTAACTACTTATGTCTTGGGTCTTCTTGGCCTATTTTCAATATTTGTCACTTTCTTCTGAATCCTTTTTCTCTCCTTCATTTCTTTTTGATCCTTACAATTTGTTGCGCTCATTTGCTCTCGTGTTCCTTCCATTTTTAACTTTATTTCTAATGTGATTGTTTTTTGTATCCCCATTTTCCCTGGAGTGCTGTCACCTCGTTTCTCAAACTTTTTGTTTCTGACTCTTTTCGTATAATTTATCTCTCGTATAATTTCTTCTTTCAATTGCTAGCTTGCTCTGAGATAGTAGGCTGTGTTGTGGGCTGTTTTAGGCCATGCCTCTCTGCCGCACTTTCATGGCCCGGGAGGACTTACCGAGGGCCCGGGTTCCCGCTGCCCACCGGAGGAGGCAACCCTCCGAGTGTCTGGTGCTAAGCTCAGACTGTGTGCTGTGCTTCTACAACCAGCGCTGGCTGGCTCTTGAGGTCTCCCGTCTTCAGTCTGTCACGTGTCCCTTTGCCGTCCCCTGCACAGATGCCAACACACAGGAGCTCGTGGCTCTCCGAAACTTGTGGTTTCAGGTTCACCTGGTTTGTTATAAATTTCAACCGTGAATTTTTGGTTTTGCTTTGGTTGCTTGTCTGGTTTTGTGTGGAGATAGAGGTACATGCAGAAACTCTGCTTCCAACACTGTGCCGCCTTTCCAGAATTCCCCTATTTGAATTTGTCACCAAAATATCTTAAGCAGTATTTTCTTTCCACATCATCAAATAAACAACGACCGTGTTCCCTAGTCAGATGAGGCCTCTGGCACTTTCATTCCCTTCCTCACATCTGAAATGTAAATGATAACAAATACAATTTTATTTCTAGATTATTTTAGTTTTTTTCTTTCTGTCTTCTCTCTCGTATCTGAGGAATCCTTTCTTCATGATTACCTTAGATTTCTCCACCCCATTATCACCAGTTACTTAGGTTTTGCCATACGTGTTATTGGAATTCATTGCTCACCTATGTTTCTGGATATCTGTTTCCCTCCATCTTTTCGTCAGTGTTCATTTGGCTGGAGGACTTCCTCAAATAACTTTTGTCCCCTCCTCCTAGAAATGGTGTCATTTCTCAAACCGTGTGTATGTAACCTGAGGATGGTCTCAACATGGTGGCATGTCGGCAGGAAGGAGCTTTACTTCCCTCAGATTTTCCCCTAAACTCTCCACACTGAATGTGGCTTTCCTGTCGGGAGACTGGCCCCTTGTGGCACTGTGAGCAGTGCTGTAACTTTCTGGTGACTCTCCAGGTGAAATTCTAAATTCTGATTCTGTATTTGGTTCACAGGTGGCCTGTGGTATGATGGGGGGTCCTCCCCGACTCACCGGCTCCGGGTCCTTCCAAAGACCAGTGTTCCTGGACTGGGACCTGGGAGGAGGGAGGAGGGAGACCGTGCATCTGTAACTCAGCTGGGTGCACACACCAGGTCCCTGCCCCATCAGTCGTCAGTTCTCAGAACCTGTCTGCCCATTGGAGCCTCCCGTGGCAGCCCCTCAGTGCCCACCACTGGGGCTGAGCCCTCGAATTCTGGTAGCAGAGACGGTAAAGGTATGTGGTGGTCACTGGGAAGATAGAAGTCGGTAGACGGTTCTCTGGGGATGTGCCAGGCTTTCTGGCACGAATCTCCCAGCGTGGCTGACGGATCCAAAGGCACATTTCCAAGGAAGTCACTCTTTCGTCACCACACAGGAAAGAGGTTGAAAGAAAGAATTGCACCAAGTACACTGTTGGCTTACAGAGACAGGACAAGTTTTATTAAAGGGAAATTCAATTGTTACTTTTTTAAACAGATGAAGTTGGAGGCATCAGGAGGAAGGAAGCTTGTAGGGAGAGGTGGGTCACAGGGAAGGAGGACGTGGCCCAGAAATATCCAGGGCCGATGGCGGAGATGCCAGGTTACCACAGTCCTCGGCAAACACTCAGAAGCACAGACCTGGGCTTGCAGGGTCCGACCTTGGGTCCCAGCCGTCTGGAGAAGGGGCAAGAAATGACACTCACCCGAGTCGGGAAGGCCAATTGCGACAGCCAGCTGGCACCTGCTTCTAAGCAGAGGCATCTCCAGTGTCTAGGAAATGACTTCTCCTGAGTGAGGAGGATAAAGACAGGTTCCAGAGGGGGAGCTGAGCCGTGGAGGGAGACACACGCATGAATGAAGAGTAGAAGGTTGTGGGAGACTCGAGGAGGTTGTGGAAAGGAGCTGATTCAGGGAAACCACAAGACCACGGGCTTCACCAAACATTGAGAAACCAAAGGTCTAGGTTCAGAGCTTCAGATCTTGCGCTGGCAGCAAATGGGGACACAGCAGCTGGACTGGGAGCAGCTGGGTTTGCAGCAGCTGGACTGGGAACAAACAGGAACACAGAAACTGGACTGGGAGCAGCAAGGTTTGCAACAGCTGGACTGGGAGCAAACAGGGACACAGCAGCTGGACTGGGAGCAGCAAGGTTTGCAACAGCTGGACTGGGAGCAGCAAACAGGGACACAGCAGCTGGACTGGGAGCAGCCACAGGAGCCACAGCCCCCCTTGGAGCCCCCACAGGAGCCACAGCCCCCCTTGGAGACCCCACAGGAGCCACAGCCCCCCTTGGAGCCCCCATAGGAACCACAGCCCCCTTTGCCACAGCTGGAGCAGGAACAGGCTGGCACACAGCAGCACACAGGCTTGCAGCAGCCCCCACAGCTGGAGCCACAGCCCCCACAGCTGGAGCCACAGCCCCCACAGCTGGAGCCACAGCCCCCACATGAGCCACAGCCCCCACAGCTGGAGCCACAGCCTCCGGAACAGCCACAGCAGCCCATGGTCCTGGTGGTGGAGGGTGGAGCAGGTCAGAGGAGCAGGTGGAGAGGGGAGGTGTTCAGGTGTGGGGCCTCCTGGGCCAGGGGCCCTTATATCCCCGTCCAGGGTCAGTGTGATGCTGGGCACATGGTCACTTCCTGGTCCTGTTTGTACTATTTTGTCCCTTTGCCAGTGCCTTCCTACTGGCTCAGGGAGCATCCACTTTCTTTGTTTCCTAAGTTTGTCCTCTTCCCCTTCTGTTTTGGCCCCTATAATTAGAACCTCCGCTCCGGGCTGCCTGTGCTTCCCCAGGGGCCCCAGGGCGCTGGTCACCTGCCCTCCCTGCTGATCACAGGTGCTCCTGCCTATGCTGAGTTGGCTTCTCCCTGACAGTAGTCATCTTACGTGTTTAGATTTTAAAAGTCACCTATGGTCTCAACTGGAAACAATAAAAATAGAAAGAAGGAAACACGTTACCTATAATCCTGTCACCTGGAGATGGCATTTTGGTTGATTTCCGTAAGCATGAATAAGTGTAAGTGTGTTAATGTTGCCTCAGTTTACCCATGCCTTTGTCAGCTTTCTGGGGATATGCTTTCATTTACTATCTAAATAGGAATAATCTACCCCATCCTGGTATTGAGAAGGGAATCCCTTCCCCTGCTGGAGTATTTCTAAATATCTCACAAGTCTCTCTAGTTATTACTTTCTCCCGTCTCCGCTCGGATCATTCACTCGTCCTGAGGCTGCTTCTTGCGGCTGCTGAGCCTGCCTCCCTCCTCAGCTTTGCTCCATGGGAGGAAGAGAGGCTCCTCTTATCACCAGTAGTCTACATTAGGGCTCCCTCTTTGTGTTGTACATTCTATGGGTTTTGAAAAACGTATGACGTGTCTATCGTTATGGTCTCATACAGAATAATAGTTTCACTGCCCTAAAAGTCCTCGGTGCTCATCTAGTCATGTCTCTTCCCTCCTTCCTGAACCCCTGGCAACCCCTGATCTCTCTACTGTCTCCACAGTTTTGCCTTTTCCAGAATGTCATATAGCTGGAATCATACAGCGCATGGACTTTTCAGACTGGCTTCTTTCACTTAGTAATATGCATTTAAGGTTCCTCCATGTCTTTTCATGGCTTAAGAGCTGATTTCTTTTTATCACTGAATAATATTCCATCACCTGGATGGACCACAGTTTATTTATCCATTCACTGACTGAAGAGCAGCTTGGTTGCTTCCAAGTTTTTGGCAATTATGAATAAAACTTCTATAAACATCCGTGTGCAGATTTTTGTGTAGACACAAGTTTTCAGCTCATTTGGGTAAATACCAAGGAGTGTGACTGCTGAGTCATGTGGTAAGAGTATGTTTAGTTTTATAAGAAACTGCCAAACTGTCTTCCAAAGGGGCTGTACTATTTTGCATTCCCCACCAGGAAGTGTGCAGTGGTATCTCGTTGTTTTCATTTACATTTCCCCGGTGACATAAGATGTTGAGCGTCTCTTCATGTGCTTATGTGTCATCTGTATGTCTTCTTTGATGATGAGTATGTTCAGATCTTTTCCCACTTTTCAATTGAGTTGTTTTCATATTGTTGAGTTTTAAGAGTTCTTTGTACATTTTGGAAATCAGTCCTTTATCAGATGTGTGTTTTGGAAAGGGATTCCCCCCACCCCCAGGCTGTGGCTTGTCTTTTTCATTCTTTTAAGTGTCTTTTGCAGAGAAGATGTTTTTAATTTTAATTGAATTACGACATCAGTTTTGTCTCTTATGGATTATGCCTTTGGTATTGTAGCTAAGAAATCCTCACCAAACTTCAAGTCACCTAGGATTTCTCCTATGTTATCTTTTAGGAGTTGTATAGTTTTCATTTAGGTTCTATGATCCACTTGAGTTATTTTTTGTGAAGGGTGTAAGGTCTGTGTCTAGATTCTTTTTTTTTTTTCGGTGAGGAAGATTGGCCCTGAGCTAACATCTGTTGCCGATCCTCCTCTTTTTGCTGAGGAAGATTGGCCCTGAGCTAACACCCATGCCCATCTTCCTCTATTTTGTATGTGGGACACTGCCACAGCATGGCTTGATAAGCAGTGTGTAGGTCCACACCCAGGATCTGAACCTGTGAACCCCAGGCTGCCAAAGTGGAGCACACGAACTTAACTGCTATACCACCGGGTTGGCCCCTAGAATCATTTTTTTTTAATGTGAATGTCCAGTTGTTCCAGCACCTTTTGTTGAAAAGTCTATCCTTTCTCCATTGAATTGGTTTTGCTCCTGTGTCAAATCAGTTGACTATATTTGTGTGGGTCTGTTCTGGGATCTGCATTCTGGTCCACTAATATGTTTGTCCATTATTTCACCAGTGCCACACTGCCTTGATTACTGTAGCTTCATAGCAAGTCTTGAAGTCGAGTAGTGTCAGTCTTCTGACTTTGTTTTTCTTCAATATTTTATTGGCTATTCTGGGTCTTTTGCCTTTCTGTATAAACTTTAGCATCAGTTGGTCAATATCCACAAAATAATTGGCTGGGATTTTTATTGGAATTGCATTGACTCTATAGATCAAGTTGGGAAGATTTCTTTCATCAGAGTTTTGTAGCTTCTTCATATAGATCTTGTAGATCTTAGTTAGATTTTTACCTAAGTATTTCATTTTTTGGTGCTAATGTAAATGATATTGTGTTTTTAATTTCAAATTCCAGCTGCTCATTGTTGGTATATAAGAAAGCAATGGACTTTTGTATATTAACCTTGTATCCTGCGACCTTGCCATAGTCACTTATTAGTTCAGGAGATTTTTTGTCGACTATTGGGATTTTCTACATAGGCAGTCATATCATGTCACTGAAAACTAAAAAACATGAACATAAACTATGAATACCAAATGCTGACGAGAATCTGGAGCAACAGGAACTCTCATGCTTTGCTGGTGGGAATGCAAAATGGTAAGCCACTTTGGAAGATAATTTGGCAGTTTCTTACAAAACTAAATATACATTTACCATACGATGCAGCAATTGTGCTCCTAAGTATTCACCCAAAGGAGCTGAAAACTTATGTCCACACAAAAACCTGCACACAGGTGTTTATAGCAGCTTTCTTCATAATTGCCAAAACTTGGAAGCAACCAAGATGTCCTTCAGTAAGTGAGTAGATAAACTGTGTTACATCCAGACAATAGAATACTATTTAGTGCTAAAAAGAAATGAGCTACCAAGACATGAAAAGACATAGAGGAATCTTAAATACATATTTCCAAGTGAAAGAAGCCAATTTGAAAAGGCCACGTGCTGTATGATTGTAACTATACGACATTCTGGAAAAGGCAAGACTATGGAGACAGTAAAAAGATCAGTGGCTGGTGGTGGTGGGGGATGAATAGGTGGAGCACAGAGGATTTTATGGCAGTAAAACTATCCTGTATGGTACTCTAATGGTGGGTACATGTCATTATATATTTGTTAAAACCCATAGAATGTACAACATCGTGAGTGAACTGTAATGTAAACTCAGGACTTTGGGTGATAATGATGTGTCAATGTAGATTCATCAGTTTTAACAAATGTACTACTCTGGTGTGCGATGTTGATAACAGGGAGGCTGTGCGTGCATGGGGACAGGAGGTACGTGGGAAACCTCTGTACCTCCTCAATTTTGCTGTGAACCTAAAACTGCACTAAAAAAAATAAAGTCCAATTTAGAAAAAAACTGTTGTAGATGAATTGAAGGAGAGGATGATGATTGTTTGAAACTCAAATCATTGCTCTGGAAGATTAAGTGGAAGAAAAATCTCAAATCATAAAACAGGATTATAAGGAAATTGAAACTATGACAGAAAGATTTGAGAGTAGACCCAGGACATACTATGCAAATAAAATAGGAGTTTCATAAGGAGGAAAAGAGACAGATGGCAGAGAGGCAATAATTAAGCTTATAATAAAAGACAAGAGAGCTAGATAAAAGCCAAGTCAGCCTGTTGAAAGGGCTAACCAAGCTTCAGGTAGGATTGATGGAAAAATGAATCCTTAGGAATGTCCTGGTAAACGTGATAGACTTCCAGACAGAAAGAACAAGAATACAGCAATTATATCACCAGTGTAGCCATCTGCAGAAATACTTGGGGAAATGCTCTAACAAGACAACGGTGAATCAGAATAGAGTCCTCAGGAGAGGACTGAACTCTGCCATTAAAGACAGAGACTTGTGGAATGCAATACTCAATGGTATTCTGTTTCCAAGAAACACGCTTAAAACAAAGTGATAGAGAAATGTCGAAAATAAGAAGAGGTAAAAGATAACAGGCAAATGAAAAGAAAAATAAAGCCCAGGGCAGCAAGTAGGGATTTAGGGTTGAAAGCACCAAATAGGGTAAAAAGGGATATTATATAAGCTAAAAAGGGCATTATATGAAAAAGCTAAAACAATCATGAACCTATATGTACCTAACAGCATAGCACCTAAAGTGATAAAAATGGTTAGAAATGTAAAGAGAGGTTGATGAAAATGGAATTATAGAGGGAGAATTCGATATCTCACTTTCAAAGTTGGGCATGTCGTTAGACAGAAAAATAAGTAAGGATACAAAGGAACTGAATAACTCAATAGACAAGCCCTAATGTTAAGTCTGGAAACTGGTCCTGGCTGTAGGTCATGTCCTGCTTGCCACACTTCCAGTCCATCCCCCCTCTCCTTTCTCTAGAACCCTCCAGCTTTGTCACTGTTATGGGCTGAGTGGATGCCAGGCCCCCTCATTTCTTAGTGATTTTGGCTTCTGGCTCAGGGCCACTCACTCCAACATGATTTCTGGGTTGACTCTTGGTGATTTCTAGATACAGGCAGATGGTCCTTCCTAACCCCTGTCTTCTCGGTTTCTTGGCCTCCTCTCCTGCAATGATCTTGCCCTCCATCCTCCTCAGCTACTCCCTTCTGTGGTGATATCCTTAACCGTGTTCTTAACACGTGCAACCACACTGTACTCTCAGTTTTACGTGCCCCACTCTCCAGCCACCCTCCTCTTTCTAGCTCACCCTCTCTGGTGCTACGATCCTGCCAGAACTCTCAGTCCATTGATACTA